ATTGAAAGATTAAAGTAGTGTCGAGTAATTTCTCTTTTGTATCGAAGGAGAAACGTAGAAATGTCTGATATGAAATTAAAATTTAATTCGAAGGTTTTTACGATCTTATTTCGAAAGTTTGACGCAATCAAAATTTGACACGATTTTATTTTGAAAAGTTTGTGCAATCAAAATTTGACAATCTCGTTTTAAAAATTTTGCACGATCGAAATTTATCAAAATTTTACGCGACCCAAATATAAAATTACACACGACGGAAATTTAATCAAAATTTTACGCAGCCCAATTTTCAAAATTACGCACGATCGAAGTTTAATCAAAATTCTACGCAGCCCAATTTTCAAAATTAGGCACGATCGAAATTTAATCAAAATTCTACGCAGCCCAATTTTCAAAATGACGCACGATCGAAGTTTAATCAAAATTCTACGCAGCCCAATTTTCAAAATTACACACGATCGAAGTTTAATCAAAATTCTACGCAGCCCAATTTTCAAAATTACGCACGATCGAAGTTTAATCAAAATTCTACGCAGCCCAATTCTAAAAATTACATAAAACCGAAATTTCTTCAAAATTTTACGCGGTCCAATTCTAAAAATTGCACACAATCAAAATTGACACAAAATTAAAACAAAGACACGAAATAAAAATGGAACGGAAATTTAATGAAAATTTCACAACAGAGAAATGTCTAAATTTGCATAAGAATTTCCACTTCAGAGAAAGAGAGAGCGGAGTAAAGATCACGAAGTAAGTTCAAGTGGTTTAATTCTCCTCTATTCAGGGGAACTCCCCCGGTCATTCTCACAACAAACACACGTAAAATAACGGTCGGTAGAACTTGTTGAAATCGAAAAAGAAGTTCTCACGTCGATAATTCGAGCCGTGGGGGAGCCCATTCGAGCACTCTGAATAGATCCATTTAACCGATTCCTTGCACGCACACCGCGCAGGCACCACCTCGAATCGTACGCGCCTTTAACCCACCTTTTTTGATTGGGCAAATTGTCTCGTCCGGCAAGTGAAAAGACGCCTAACGGTCTTAACACTGGCCTCTCAAGGGTGGCGTGGGTGGTGAAACATTAACGCTAGCTTCCTCGATCTTGCCCAAGAAATTGCCGCCTCGTTATATCGCGTTTAGAAGCGCGAACAAACAACCGGACACACTCGACACAACGGAAATTTTTACTACCGTTCCTCGAATCGTGTCGCGCGACATTTTTAACAATTCGTTCACACTACGGCAACCATTCTCAGATTTTAGGTTAACACTAGGTTTACGAACGTTTCTTATATACCTTATCTCTACGGACACGCGTCAAATTGGCGGATTTCCTTAAAAAAAAAAAAATTACATATTACACACTATTAACTTACAAATGAAACTATGTGATACTGTATATTTATATAAAATTTATAATAAGCGTAAGTGGTGTAGGAGAGAAATGTAAACGGTTTCTGTAATTTCTCTTGTGAAAGTCCCGTAAACCTAGTGTTAATAACAACCATGTGTTAACACACTCGAGGTTATTATTCTTATCATGCGAAAATTTTTTTTTTTTATCAGTCGGTAACCTTGCTTGTTACAGGCTAAATGGTACGATAAAGAAAATGGAGTAAAAGAGGAGAAAAGTATGTTTGATTTTTAATATTTGCACGAATTTTACAGGTTGAATGAATGGTGTGAGATAAAAAAAGAAATAAAAAAGGGTACGTTTGATATGTCATGTTTGCATCTTAATGAAAAATTGTGCGATTTTTACGGGTTACATAAATAGTACGAGATAAGAAATGTAAGGAATTTAGAAATAGAACAAAAAAGCAGTGAAGTATGTTTGATTTTGAAAATTTGCATCTCGTTGAAAAACTGTACGATTTTCACATTTGTTGACCCTTCTGTTTAACCCTTTCGTGACCGAATTATTCTTTTTTAATTTCTTATTTATCTACCGATCTTCATGGATACTAAATCTCTTTAATGGATACTAAATTGAGATCAATGTTTGTTCGAGTACTTAAGTGGGACACATGTGTCCCCACTGGTCGCGAAAGGGTTAATTATTGAAAAAAAGTGGCGATGTGATTTTGAGAAAATTGGGTGGTCAACTGTTGTATCGTACTTTTGAGAGTCTGTTAACAAAATTCCGAAGAGATCTGTCGATTACTTCCGGAAATATGACGACTACCATTTTAGAGGATCGAATTTATAGAAAAAGCGCCTGTGGATCTAGCAAATTTCTAACTTACCGATTGACAATACTCGAGCGTGACTATTCTCGAAAATTTCAAAAACTCGTTGAATATACGAAAATCGAAAGATCGAGTTGTCTTTTACTCTCGCAAAACACGCGACAGACAACATCCGTGGCGAATTTCGCGGGGAATTCCCCAAAAAGTTCCCCCCAAGCAGCGAGGCACGAAAAACTTCACGCTACTTCGGTTTTTTTTTTTTTTTCATCGGAAGAATATGTAGGAGACACCTTGTATATATGTATGTATACTTGGAAGAAACGTGGCTTAGTTCCGTGGTTTCTTGCCCGGGTTTATTAAGAATGACAGAGCAAGAATGAAACGATTTCGACGATCGACAGGCCACGAAAGAAACTCAATTTACGAGCTGGAGAAAGTATAATATACTAAGGCTGACGCAATAGCGATCGTTCGTGTCGATCCCTTTGTCGTGCGTACAGGGTGTCTCGTTTGTAACGAACATCTAAATTATCTTCGCTGGTACTGAGTACTAGGTACTAAGAAAAAAAATTACTGAGAAAAGCTCACATGCTTTCGGGACATTCACCTGGTGATCATTAAAAAGAAAAAGAAGAAAGTGTCCTCAAGGTCATTTCGAAAGTCATTCCAAGGTCATTGATGTTATTTTTATTGATATTGAAAGTAAGAGAAGACTACTGAGAGGTGTTCCTATAATCTCAAGACATTCACCTGGTAATCATTAAAAAGAAAAGAAAGAAAAAAAGGTGTCCTCAAGGTCATTTGGAAGGTCATCCATATTATCTTTTTCGATATTGAAAGTAAGAAAAAATTACTGAGAGGTGTTCATATGATCTCGAAACATGCACTTAGTAATGATAACAAAAAAAGTGCCCTCAAGGTTATCCATATTTTCTTATCAAAAGTAATTAATACGAGTTCAACGACCTATGACATTATGGTCTCCAAGGGACCGTAAACGGTAAAAAAATGTGGATGATCTTTGAAACGATCTTCACTTAAGACGATTTGGAATGAACTCTCTTTATTCCTTTTTTTTTTTTTTTTTTTTTTACTTTCAATAACAGAGGAAATAATTCAGATGGTCGTTACAAGCGGGACACCCTGTATATACAAGGGAGCGTAAGAATTTGAGGAACGATAATGCGAAGGGAAAAAAGAAACGCAACTTTCCACCGGTTTTTGTTCTCCCGTCGAAATTACGAAAGTGTCGGACTTTTCGAATTGCGAGAAAAATTTGTGTTGAACGGAGGGAGTGTCGTTGAACTCACCAGTGAACAGCTGATAAGCCCCGGTGAATATAATGATGAAGAGGGCGAGCAGCTTGGCGTACGTGAAGATGTCCTGCACTCTCGTTGCCCATTTCACGTCCCAGCAATTGATGAACGCGAGTATGCCTGGAAAAATAATTTCACACAAGGTTAGAAGTAATGTACAAGTATGAGAACAATAAGAAGATTCCACTGGAACCTTATTTTCAGAAAAAAATTACTAGTAATCAGGAAGCAAAACTAAGAAAATCACTATGAGAACCTCCTCAATTGAAACATCCATTTTACTTTTTACTTTCATTCGAAGAATTATTTTTCAAGTGAAAAAATCAGCGTAGAAAAAATAGTAGAAACGTTCCAACTTTTAATAGTGTACTACAGACATCCGAGTAATCTCCCTCTACTATACAATCTAATCCCGTGAGATCACCTGGGACACCTTAGATCTCAAGATACCCGACCAAGCGTATTATCCTGAAAAGTAGCATCGCTATGTCATAACACCACTTATCTCGTCCCATTATCAACAGTAGCCGCACACACTTGAACGATGCTAAAGAGCCACTCGTATCACATTCGACCAATCGTTTTCTCCATCCCCCTCCACCCCCCATTTCGAACGATATCTAACCAGCCACTGAACCGTTCATTTGTTTAGCGAACTACGTCAGATAGATCGATAACATTAACATCAACCGACATTTTATCCTACAGAGAACCGGTTGTGCACGTTTGCCCATAGCCTTTCAGACTAACTGGCACCAGGCCAGCCAACCATGACCACCGTCAAGGGTGGAATCGAGCACGGATGACGATCGACCTGTTCCATTTCGAGAACCGGAAATTGGAAGTTCCTTGACGGTGTGTGGCCGGGTGGTAGTCGAAGATGACTTCGTTGAAAATTGAACGATTTCGTTTCCTGAGATCTTCAACTTAGGTTCGCCGAAATTTTAGGGATCTTCACGTCGTTGGAAATTACTTGAAAATCGGGGTTTTATCGTCGGTTAACTTTTTCATTGAGTGATTCGAAAAAAGTGAACAGCGGTATTTCGAAAAATCTTAAATTTTAGCTTTTCCAAATTTTAAAATTTCTCGAATTATTGAACTCCACTAAAAAAAAAAAAATCACTTTTCCCTTCAATTAACCCTTTCAATGGGTGATTAAAAAAATTGAATAATGGTATTTTCAAAAAGTTCCAACTTAAGTTCTTCGAAATTTAAAAAATTCTCAAATTATGAAACTCCACCCTTTCTATTAGTTAACAAATTCTCTATAAAACGCTTTACAAGCACCCTGTGTATGTGTTCTACCGTATTAAAAGGGAGAAATTACTGCTGCAATCACGTTCAGTGTCACGTGAGTCACGGGTAACTCTCGACAATTAATGGGAATAAAACTTTCATCGGAGTAATGAATTTTACTCGATATTTTATTAAAGATAAACTTCCGTTGTAAATTAATTTCAGCGATACCAGATATAAAAACTTCCGATTTCGTTGACTACCGATAACCAATATGGCGTCCATCGTTATAATTAACGTGTTACATATCGCGTTCAGCAATATTTCCTTAGAGTTAAGTAAATATGATACTAAAATGGTATCCATTGTTATATAATACAATAACTAATATTTTTTCAGAGTCGTGTTATCGCGTGTCGAAATTCTGATGCAACAAGCCGTAGAATTTGCACGAAGATTCTTCTCAAAATGGTCACGTGGCCGAGTAGTTATCGCCAGTTAATCGATGCTTGATTGTTTCATGCAAATCGACAATTGAAGAAACGGAAGCTGATGTATATATAATTTCTATGCAGTGGCAACTTCTTTGGTTTCATACATAATGCTTCTTAGCAGTAATTATTAGTGAATTTTTTATAGTTCCCTATGTTAACGACTATTATTAATAAGTCACGCCACGCGTCACGAAATAATTTCACCAAATTCACTATTTTACTGTATTTATTTTTCTATTTTTTCTATATTTTACTATATTTACTTTTTTACAAATTTTTCTATATTTTTTACTATTTTTGCTATACTTTGCTAAATTTACTTTTTTACTATTTATTATTTTCTGGGCGAAATCGATCACAAATCTTGTTGAAATCAGTCAAAAAAATTATACCGTACTTCGCTGTATTTACTATATTTCACTATTAATTTTTCCCCGTATAGAATCGATCTCAAATATTCGAAATCAATAAAAAAAAAATTTACTACACTTTGCTGTATTTCATTTTATTGTATATATTGTTCCTTGCACAGAATCGAAAACAAATACCCGAAATCGACGGGAAAAAAGAAAGACAGAATTTACGCAACGAAGAACGTGCATGCTGTTTACCAATCGAATTTCGTCATTTCGTCGAGTTTTTGCGAATGTTCGACATTCCAAGGGAACCGTAACCGACGGCTGAGTCAGTTCGACGATTAGGCCACGGTGTGTACACAATTCGTGGAAATAAGAGTCAAAATAAACGAGGTTCATCGATCGAAAAAAGGAACGCAACGCCGTGCGTGCTTGCATGGTCATGAAAAAGATTCCACCTAGCGATGCGGAGGCATGTTCCCCCTCTCGTCCTTGGCGGATTCGTTAGCGAAGAAAAGTAAGAAATGTCGACTGATGCAACATCTCGAGGAATATCGCGAGACTTTCCGCCCTGTTCCCCTTCTTCCCCTGCCTTATTCCTCCTTGTCACGCGTCTTCGCCAGTGCTGGCCACGGATACACCAGACCCTCGCCGCGATTTCTACGCTGAATATTATTGCCTGGCGTAGTGTAAATTGTCGAAGAAAGAGACGTACAAGCGTTCGCGTGGGTTTGTTAGGGACGCTTGGAACTCGTGCTTTGGGAAAGCAGAGAGATAGATAGGTGGAAAGAGGGAGGAGATACAAAAGAAAAAGAAGAGAAGAGAGAAAGAGAAGGGTAAGAGTGGGGAGAGAAAAGAGAGAGGAGGAAAAAGAGGGAGAAACAGAGGAGAGAAAAAGAAAGAAAAAGAAAGAAAAAGGAAATGATTGAGGAGAGAAAAGGAAAGAAAACTGAGAACAAAAGAAAAGAATATTTCTTCTCCTCGCACAGAGGATTGAGAGAAGAGAAAAAAGGGAGGGGAGTGAGAGGAGAGAAAAAAGAGAGAGAAAAGAGAAAAAAGAAAAAGAGAGGGAAGAGAAAAGAGAGAGAGAGAGAGCAAGGAGAGACAAGAAGCAAGAGTGAGAAAGGACCGAACGGTTGAACAAAAGACCAAGGAAACGTATGCAGAACGAAGTTCCGAGAAAACTGTTGATCCCACAAGTTGCACTCACGTGTCAACTATAACAAACTTTATTTTGTATCCACCACACATACATTTCATGTTTAACCCTTTCGTATCCATAGACGAAATATCTCGCGTTACACTTATCCAATACCTACAATACAGTCTCACGTTCATCGATACTACTCGATTATCAAAGTTCCAGGAAAAATTGTTTTTCCAACTATCACGGTGTGGAATACAAATAAATTCCTATCGTCTAATCGACACAGTCTATAAATGATATTAAGTTGAGTGTCACAGGGCATTTCCATTATTCGACGCGCAAAACACGGATTTATGGGAGAACAACTAACGGGGCTTCCCCGCATGATGATTCGTACTTCGATCCTTAATTGCGACTTACTTGTCAGAAGTTTAAAACGACTCTTCGACAACTTGGAAAAAAAAACTAGAAAGATAGAGTATAAAGCTAAAAAGTTAAAAATGAAAAAATTAGCTTTGAAGGTTCCGGCCACATCCACCTTAAAATCCACTTCTCTCCCTCCATCAAATTTTCCTTAATTCTCCCCTCCAGTGGAACCAAGTTCCACAGCAACGAACAAGAACAAAATTCACGCGTAAAACTGTCCCAAACAAGCCAAACGATCCTTCACAGCTGACGCAAAAAGCCTACTATACCGATCGAACGCAAGTGTATACGTAATTGTATCAGACACACGATTTACGTCGAAAAATACGTAAATCGTAAGATTCATTGAACAAACTGTATTATAAAACAACAGCTGTTTATCTCTCCTCGCTCATTCTACGACCCTCCTCCTCACGTGTATCAATCAGCGTGTCGCGATATTTCTTTCATCCACTGTACAATATATGCTGCTAATTTGTAAGCAAGAGTGGGGGAGAGTGGGGAAGAGATCTTCGAAGCAGAAGACGACGCGACTGTTGCACGTCACCCGGTTCTCTTCTTCCACATCTTCCGTCTGTCCCTTCTCTTATTCGTTCGCTCTCCTCTCACCCCCTGCTGCCCCCTAAAGGCGAATTATGCTGTTGCGGCAGCCAGTTGACACGTTATTAGAAGATTACGTTTAATCGCAATGGGACGTGATTGCTGGCGCAGCCTTTTCACTCGATACACCACCATCTCGCGTCTTCACGGCCGACTACGGACGACGCCAGGCTCGATCTAATCGTTCGCTTTCACTGGCCGATCTGAGATCGATGCTCTTAAACGTCGGTGTCAATGCCTTCGTTTCTCGCCACGCTGTTTCAACCTCTTACTCGCGCCATTACTGGCGGGAAACGCGATACATTCGTGGTGGTCCTTCTTATTTTTGTTTTTGGTGTTAGGGATGCGTAAGGAGTGGAAAAGGGATTTTTGAGAGGAAATGGAGTGGGAATGGAGACAGAGGACATTTTTGAATTTTTTTTGGAGAGGGAGATTATTGGTTTTTAATCATTTTTCGTAATTATGGAAGAAAGGAGGAATTTTGGAAAATGGTGACGAATTGTGTTAAGTTCTGACGAAGGAAATTCTAAATTTGGTAGTTTTTATTTATTGCTGATTTTTAGATAGAAGATTGAATTTTAGTGGACGTAAGTTTTGGATCGTACCAGATTTCTGAGGAAAAGTGATTTATGAGAGAAAAAGAGGTGGGATTAGAGAACGAGAATTTTTTTTAGTTTGAAGATTAGATTTTAATGGACGTAAGTTTTGGATCGCAGAAGAGGCTGCAGAAGTGATTTCTTAGGAGAAAAGGGGATGGAAGCGGAGAATTTTGTTTGCTTCTGAAGAAGGAAAATTGAGACAAATAAGAAATTTTAGTATAATTGTACCGAAGTTAAGTTAGTTCTGACGAAAGAAAGTTTG